CCACGCGCAGTGTTTACTAATATATCACCTGAATCATCGATAGAGATGTCATCTTTGCTCTCTTGAATGAGGATACCATGAGTCGAGTGTGTAGTACCCGCACCAGAAGGGGTCTCTTCATTTAGATCAAAATTATCCCAACATAAATGAGCTGCTGCATTATTAGCGGGGGAGATATTAGGGGGCAATATTTTATCGTTAATCTGAATAGCAGAGCAAAGAGCAGTCTCAAGTTCCAACATAAATGAATAAGAAGCACAATGACCTGAACGATTGAGAATACAAATTATTTCCGAGCTTCCGGTTAAATGCTGGATTGTTATTCCAAAACTTAAATGTTTGGGCATTTTCCAGGATCCATTTGTAGCTGCATAACAAAGGTCCTCGGAAAAAGATTGAGCTTTTCGCTTTACTTTGGTACTTGCCATCGTTAGGGTATTTCCACTGATTAGAGGGGAGATAAATGTTTTTAAAATTTCTGGAGAGGCACAATTATTTGACTGTAAATACTCTGCAGAGGGCGGCCACGGAATTTGAGGAGAAATTTCGTATGAGTGCATGATGTTGCGCCGCAGAATTGACGCAGCCTCCTCAAGTTTCCGCTTTTCCGACGCAGCAGACTCAAAGGGAACAGCTGCACCACTCTGAATGTCTGTGGAGTATACTAATGCACTTCGGTAGTTAGGCTGCCAAAACGATAGTGTGCCTTTTAATTTCTCTGTCTTATAATCTACGTTATAGAATGACGGATATTTTTCTAGCATATATGAGAGGTATTTCTCGCGAAGCATCGACATGCGCTCGACATTACCGTTGTTAATTATGCTCTCATTAATATGCTCGGAAACACACAGCGTGAGCTTTAAGCCGTTGGACTGACTCTTCCGATGGATCCGCAGAATGCCGCCGATCGGGATTTTTCGTGTATTCTTTTCTGCATTCATTATGATAGTGAACCTCTTGGGCTATGAAATCAACCCCAAGAATCTGTCGAAGTAGTTTCTCGCTTTTTTATTTTCGGCAGCGGTCAAGATTGATTTGGCTGCGGTTTCTGTGACGCACTATGTCGGATATTCTCGCTCACCCCTAGATGGAACCCATTTCCGTTCTTTATTACAAAATACAAAAGAATTTTTATGAAACAATATACTACCAGCACCTTTGCGAGGCGAATGCTTCGATGTTGATGCAGTAGTTGCATCGACATATTCAACTCTTTGCAAGTTGGTACATTTTTGATAGCACCAACGGTGATAATAGTGTATTGCACTGTCAAGCTCATCGGGAATTCCATTGCAGACATCATCGAATCGATGAACCGGGTTGGTCGCAGCCAATCGAATTTTGCGACAACTCAAAACTCTATTAAAAGAGTGATCGGTAATACTAAGTAAATTCAGATCTTTCGAATTACGCCCGAAATGTATTATACAATGCTTCTTGCTTACTTCCTGTGAATCGGCATGTTTGCGTTTTCTAACATTTATATTATTACTGGCTTTTCGTCAGCCATTTTTCATAACCTGAGTTCTTTCACCGATAATTTCTCGGATTCTTAACGACCTGGCTATTGCTCACAGCCTGAACCAAAATGCCGAAGACTACACAATTTGACGTTCTGAACAACCGAAAAACCTTGCAACAGTTGAACAATTCACGGAGACTATACTCAACGTGAAGCCAGTGTTCACTGTGTACTGTGTGTCACTTCGTTGTTTAGAAACCACGGTGAGTAGATTCCCGACCCGGGTACCGTAAAATTCTTCTCGGAGACGGCTCTCGGCGAGAAATTCCCGATTGCACGAGTTCCGTGCAAATTTCTCCTCGGAGACGGCTCTCAACGAGCAACTTCGATACCCGAGCGAACAACGAAAACGACCTAATACTAAACAACAAACAAAATTACAAACACATAGCTAACTACTGAACTTGTAAGTTTAGTCGAACTCGTGCTGCCCATGCAATCAAATCACAGACCGTCCGAGTAAGCCTTATCAAGCTCTGGGATACGCAACCATCATGCTAACCATAATATGAAATGACAGTTCGGCTTTGTAGTCCTCTGAATTAAGGGTCGCGGGGACCGTGGACCCCATCTAAATCAAATCAAGGAATTTAGAGGGGTAAAGCATTTCATGAGATGCGAGCGCAACCTAGCGGAGAAAAAAGTAAACAGTAGCATACTTTCCCGGACGTCGGCGTGATTGCGTATGCTTTCACTTCTTAAAATTCTCCAATTGCAGCTAGGTTTCCGCGTTCATCGCACTATATTTGTATTGCTTTACACAACCTTTTTTTAAGGTGGGGGGGGGGGCTGTGAAGGCTACCCCCTCCCCCCCCCTTAAAATTATATCAATATGACCGTGTCGATGACAAGCCTCAAGCCTTAGAAGTCGCCTTACAAAGTGAATTTTTCGCGTTTATTTCATTTTTTTTCTGGGGGGTCGTGAACCCCCCCTCCCCCACGAGGGGTTGGGCCGCACCTCGAATGAAAAATTTATGCTCCATCATTATAGGGATAAAAAATTTTACGATATTACCAACCTTTTCCGCGTTTTATTAACCATTTTCGCGAGAATTTGAGATATTTTGACATTTTAAGCCCCCCCATTTTGGGATTCCCGCAGGTCATGGCCAAGTCAAACACAACTTCTCTAGACCGAAATTTTACGAGCTTTCAGAATGGTTGTAAGAAGTTTTGCCATAAAATCAAGCCTTTTCGAGAAAAATGGGAAAATTCGCGGGAAAAGTCGGAATTCTGAGCAATTTTTGGGGGTTTAGGGGGGGCTTACTCCCCCCCCCCACCACGATAGAATTAGCGTAAACAAGAAAAATCTTATTTTACTAGTTAACAGCTTCAAGAAAATCACCATCTTCAAAATTCCCACGGGGAGGGGGGGAGGGTTACCCCTTGCTGGCCCACGGTCTTAGACATCTTCAATATGTTTTATCTTCAAAATTCCCACGGGGAGGGGGGGAGGGTTACCCCTTGCTGGCCCACGGTCTTAGACATCTTCAATATGTTTTCAAATTCCCTCACACTTATTGACATATCTAAAGGAGGAGTATCGTTTTGGGCCTTTTCCGGCCCCGCCTGGATTTTGCTAAATGTTTCATATTTTCAAAGTACTAGTCTTAGGTAGACTCTGTGTCAAATATTAGACCGAACGGAGCCCATGCAAGGGCGCAGCAGCGCCTCAAACCCAAAATCCTGGAATTGAAAAATAATTATTTTCGTCAACTTTCTCGACTG